CTATCAGATCTGTTTCATTTAGATGCAGGAGAATATCGCATTTCGTAGCATTGGGTAGTGAATTGGGTTTAAATACTTTTTCGAGGTGGGTTGCGTGTAAATTTGCTTTATGGAGGTCAGTTTTGGCCCATTTCCTTGTATTATCATTAAATAAAGGGGCATTATGTAGTGGTGGACGTTTTATGTAACTGATCGCTCTCCAAAGGGAGTAGTCGGTTGCAGGTGAGGCATCTAATGTTTTAATAAATTTTTCAAGTTGATTATTTCTAATAGTCCAAAGCTCATTTGTTAGTTCTCTTGAGATGGAGTTAAAATAGGCTTTATCTTCGGGGTCTCTGGAGCGCAGCCATCTTTTCCTAGCTTTTCTTTTTTCCTTTATGATTTTGAGGATGTAGGGGGGGGTTTTATATCCGGCTTTAATGTGTTGAATAGGGGGAGGGGTGGCATTTTTCGCCGCATCCTGTATGATTTTAACAAGATTTTCTAGTTCAGAGTCGATTTTTTGCGGAGTGTCTAATTTAGGGTCTGCATAAAGTTTAATTCTTTCATTAATGTAATCCTTAAAACATTCCCAATCAGTGGCTTTATTTATAAGTCCAGTAGGAGGTGTTGTAAAAATTGGAGAGGCTGCTAAATGAAAGTGGACGGGGATGTGGTCAGACGAAAGTTCATCTTCTATTAATGACGTATGTATATTTTGCTTGGAAAAGCCTTTATAAATTCCAAAATCTAATACATCGGGGTTCTTAAGTGGGTCTGTAGGGTAATGCATAGGGCGTCCTTGTGATGCAATGCTCGCGTGAAGCGAGTCAATTGCTTTCAATAAATGTCTGCCTTTGGTATACACAGATTTTGATCCCCAGGCAAAGTGCTTCGCATTCCAGTCTCCGGCTATCAGGAAACGCGTGCCTAGTCGATCAATAAGATTAGCGTAATCTATCTCTTGGGGATTATGATGAGGTGGAGAATATATAACTGCGATTGTTAGATCCTGTTGTTGTAAACTAATGGTGATTGATACAGACTGAAACATTTCCTTTACAATTGAGTCGTTTAAGAAATGCTTAATTCTACGTTTTATCAGCACGCCTGCGCCAGCGTGCGCTGTGTTGTC